GCAGACATACGGTTCCTACACCACGCTCTTGTTCTTCCTCTGTGCCATCTTCATTTCTTAATTTCTTGATCACTTTGCTCAAATCTAACTGAAAATTACATTTAACAGTGTTAGACGGTGTAGTGTTTAACATGGTAAAGCCCGCTTTAACATCTTCACCGCACTAAAGGGCCGGCTCGCACGGTGAAATATCACGACCACATAGAAAACAGGCGTGAAGTGGAAGCAATTCCACGTTTCGTCTGATGAGTGCGGTGCACGAGTCCTAAATCCCTTCTCCTTCCCACCATTTTATTATACGGAAAGGATAGGAAGGAAAAGTGAACTTGATGGTGGAGGGGATGCATAGAAAGGGGAAATATCCTCTTTATATGCGTCTTCTCCGTTGATTAAGGGTAGGCAACGTTTGTTTGCCACATTATGAGATGCGAAGATATGCTAACAGTAGCATAAGAGTTACACGTGTGGTAAAGGTGCTAGTGTTAACACTTCAAGTAGAATCAGTACCGACATTACCAGATAATAGATAGTGTAGATAATAGTGGTACATATAGACAATGCATTATAAACCGCCATCTTGGATATTTGCCAAAATTGGCAACATTTTCAGATTGATTTTTTATTATCGTTCTATTTTTAAATATACGTACTTTCTCATCAACTTTCAACATGGCGATATCATTGTCATATGTTCCCGGGTTGTATCTAGGATGGCGGATAATGGCCGCCACCTTCCTGTCGATCGTAGTCGTCTCGTTGGCGACGTTTCGGTCGTGCTCCAAGAAACGTACAGTGATTCTCTCTTTACGGAACCTAAAAAATGGAAATAATATAACAGTGGCACTTAGGAAATTATACGAAATTCAATGGAAATTATAAATTACAAGAAACGCAGCTGAACGATTTTACCTTTATAAGGCTGTAATCTTTACTAATATTATAAAGACTAACTAAAAAACTACTAGACCGATTTCAAAATGTCCTTTACAATAAAAAGCTACATCATCAGTGAGTAACATAGGCTATATTTTTTAATTTTACGTGGATAAAGTCACTATGATTTCACATTTCCACTGAATACGACTTTCTTAAATTGATCATATCTATGACGTCGTCAAAACGTCACAAATCACAAAGTTGTTTCAAGCAAAATCTTATATGATAGTTACCCAGCAGTGCAATGCGCGGCGGTCATAACGTAGAGGTCTGCGATAAGCGAGCAACC